CATTTAATAGTCCACCTTTTTCTCTAGAGAACAGTATAATGTTTGGTTCATAAACTTTAGACAGTTTTAAGCAATGGATTTTTTCCCCTGAAATAGTCCAGTTATGGGCTGTTTGGTTCTCGGTGCAGATGTTTATATGCATCCGGGTTGTGGCGTTGCAGTTTATACACACATGAAATATGACACCAGCAACAACCACTATCATTAGTTTAGGACATTGTGCTCCTGACAGACTGGCATTTTCATGTCTATTCTTCTTCAATCGCAGCTCCACTCCAGCCTGTAATGGGCCATTCCCATCTGTACCGGGTCGGCCCGGGCCGGGTAGCCCCAGTCGGCCCCAGCCTGGCCCGGTTGATTCCACACATCCTTGTCTTAAGCCCATGTGGGCTGATTCTACCCACCAATCAGAGGCTTGCTCTAATGGAAGGTGTGAATTTGCTGTCAGCAGTGGGTGTGTTGGCCCTGGTCGGCCTGAAGCAGACCCCCTCGAGAAGAGGGCTGAGAATGAGCCTTGGTTGGCCCGGAAAAATACCAGGCCACCCAGATATGTAAACAACCTACACTACCCGGCCCGGGCCGACCCGGTACAGATGGGAATGGCCCATAAGTAGCAGCTCCATCATGTGAAGGAGCCTCTGCTGCTGAGGTACTGCTCTGTGCTCCGCTGCTTTCTCATCAACAGCAAAAGTAGGATTCAAAACTTGTCTAACGCCACACATTTGAATGGACATTTATTTTTGATTAATCTTGCTTTCAGTGCTAAACAGACTTTTAATTTAATAAACTTGTTTCTGTTTCAACTAGGGCCTGCACGACTTTATTTTTTTTAAAGTCGACAGTCAAGTAATGAAAGTCGAGTCGACTTCGACTAGTCGTTGATGACGTCATACGCCGGAAGCGGGGGGGGGGGGGGTCGGTCGGTAGGTTCGCTGGAGCTTTTGACAATTAAAATTGCGCCCACATTTTCTAAGTTAACACATCTCTTTTAATAACGGTAGTTTCTGCATCCTTCTTCAGTCCTCTCCCCCCTCCCCCTGCGCAGCAGCCGCAAACTCACTGATGCGCCTGCAGCCTCTCGGAGTTCCTGCTGCTCTAAACATTAAAATAATTATTTCATTTTCTGTTCCTCACTTCTGATTACCTTCAGTGGTGTCTGTTTGTTGCAACAGCAGGTACAAAAACTAACTTGTTTTTATTTGACTATTTTTCTGTCCTGTCTGTTTATTATCTTCCTGCATCTCCTCTCAGTCCTAAAGAGAAACTGCTACCTGTGTTCATATATATTCACCTCATGAGTTACCTTTGAACTGCAGTTCTAAAAGATCTACCGACCGCAAAAACAGCGGAGTGCCGCTGCTCGCCGGCCGACTACAACGGGACCGTTTTTGCTGCGGAGTTCATGCCGGAGCGGAGCGGAGTGGAGATAGTGGAATCTTGGGGGTGTGTCACCGGAGAACAAAACAGGTGATGCGCCTCGCTCCGCAGCAGCGAAACGCATCAGGCACAAATAACAGACAGAAAACATGAAAGGAAATGAGCCGACATGAACGATCGTGTGTTTAATTTGCTTTTGAGGTGGTGACACCTGATTTGGCGGTGCTCAGGACGCAATGTCTGGAGCGCACGTCAACGATCAGAGCTTTGCATGCACAAACTGGTTAAGATTAGGATGGGGGTGAGGGGAAGGTTAAATTGCAAGAGGGAAAAGGTCACAATTTAGTTAAATGTCCGTTTTACAGCGGGTGTCAGTACCGCACAGCGCGTTGCCTCCGCCTCGATCCAGACGCGCAGGGGCTCATCACCTGCTGTCTTTTCCGAGGACTGCATCTTGTCAGTCATTATCACGTGACAGCGACTAGTTGATGACAGGCATAAAAAGTCACTACAGAGCCGTGAAGTCGACTAGTCGACTAGTTCGTACAACCCCTAGTTTCAACAGGAGAAAGTGGAACATGAATAGACAGAAGTTTAATTTTTTGTTTTCTTTATGGTTTATTTTGTACATTTTCATTCAGGGATTGGAAACCTGCCTCATGGAAGGATTTAGAGCTGTTGGGTCATCATTTACACAGCTGTTACTAAATGAAACATTAGATTTAGCAGCTGGAGCAGCTTGACCTGTATCTTTGACTTTTAGAGGTTTACTTTGTGTAAAAAAGTCCGTAAATCCTTTCCCCTTGTTGGACTGGACTTTGATACGTGAAACATTGAGAAGTCTCCTTGTACTCCTGGAATTTGAAAACTACAAAACTTTAGGAGTCGAACTTTTAAAGTGCAGGCTTTGTCTCCCTCTGCTGGACTTTCAGCAGAACTACATTGTTGTGATGGATGTTTTGCCCCATTGTGAGACATTGTTATTTTATTTTATAACTTTACTGACAACACAAGCATCAAATATGTTGTTAACGCTCTCAAACCAGATTTTTTTTGTCTGGACCCAAATCTGCACGTCATGATCATTTCCTTATTGTAGATTTATTTTTATATTTATTGTAAACTCTGGCATTTTTCTTTAGGCTTGCGATCCAGTTTGCGTTTTAGGTTAGTTATTTCCATTCGTGTTTGTTTTTGAAGGACGAAAACATCTCTGAAAGACCATTTAATGAGTATCTCAGTTTCTGGATTTCTAAAGCATGCTGGAGAAAAGTAAAGCTAAATGTATGTTTTCTGTTTTGTTGCAACTCCTGATGGACTTCTTAGAAATAGATATTTGTTCAGGACTTTTTCTCTCATTAGAAGAGATTCTGCTCTTTATTTTACCGTTGAACCTTCTTATACTGAACCTGTAAGATGTTGTCGATGTTGAGCCGAAACATCTCCAGAACATTTTAGCACTTAAATCTTTGTTTTTGGCACCTTACATAGAATAGTCTCACATAAAAAATTTTAAAACATTAAAATATGAAGAAAAAAAGTTTTTGCAGGGCAGCATGGATATGTGGTGTTTGGTTGTTGTATTTCAGCAGATTAAACCTTTTCTACCAAAAACCACCACTAGAGGTCAGAGACACACAGTTTAATCTGGGAATGTTGATATTTATTACATTTGATGATTTTAGTTAGAATTATTTTCTGAAATTCTCACAAAAGCCTTTTACTTTTGCCAATGCCAGCAGAAAAGACGAACAAAATATTTTTTTTTGTAAAATTTCAAAAACAATTCCAGCTACCTCAGTAAAAGACCACAGCTGAATATACGTTTAAATCTATGTGAATGGGCATTTAAAAAGTCTTTTAATGTGTTTTCAGCACAAACAGAAACCCAGATCATGACAGGTTTCAGTTTATATATGTGCGCACACAGTTTGTATGGAGTTACACCTGGCCTAAAATGTGTGTGTGTATTATATATATATGTATATGTATATTTGTGTATATGTGTGTGTGTGTGTGTGTGTGTGTGTGTGTGTGTGTAAACACTGGCCACTTTATTGGGTACACCATGCTAGTACCGGGTTGGACCCTTTTGCCTTCAGAACTGCCTTAATCCTTAGTGGCATAGATTCAACAATGTCCTGGAAACATTCCTCGGAGATTTGGTCCACATTAACATGACAGCATCACGCAGTTTCTGCAGATTTGTTAGCCGCACATCCATGATTCAAGTTTCCTGTTCCACCACATCACAAAAGTGCTCTGTTGGATTGAGCTTTGGTGATTGTGGAGGCCATTTGAGTTCAATGAACTCATTATCATGTTCAAGAAACCAATATGAGGTGATTCGAACTTTATGACATGGAGCATTGTCCTGCTGGAAGTAGCCATCAGAAGATGCAGAAATCAAGACTCATCAGACCAGGCAACATTTTTTCAATCTTCTGTTGTCCAGTTTTGGTGACCCTGTGTGAATTGTGGCCTCAATTTTCTTTTCTTAGTCGACAGGAGTGGCACCTGGTGTGGTCTTCTGTGGCTGTAGCCCACCTGCCTCAAAGTTAAATGTGTTGTGAGTTCAGAGATGCTCTTCTGCATACCTTGGTTATAACGAGTGGTTATTTGAGTTACTGTTGCCTTTCTATTAGCTCACTGGATGTTTTCCCTATTTCTGATCATTCTCTTTAAACCTTGGAGATGGTTGTGTGTGAGTCCCAGAAAATCAGCAGTTTCTGAAATACTCAGAGAGGTACCAACAACCATGCCACGTTCAAAGTCCCTTAAATCACCATTCTTCCCCGTTCTGAAGCTCGGTTTGAACTGTAGCGGATCGTCTTGACCATGTCTACATGCCTAAATGCACCATGTGATTGGCTGATTAGTAATTTACGTTAATGAGCAGTTGGACAGGTGTACCCAATAAAATGGCCAGTGAGTGTATATGTTAGTTGGAAGAGAACAGAAATTTAAATTCACACGGATCTGTGCAGGTTTTACTGTCCTTTTGCTTTCCTATTTGTTGTGTTGTTCAGAGGAAATGCATAGAAATTTGTTTTTTATGGTAAATGGCTTGTATTTGGTATAGCGCCTTCTAGAGTCCTGGAACCCCCCAGGCACTTTACAACACAATCAGTCATTCACCCATTCACACACTGGTGGTGATGAGCTACGATGTAGCCACAGCTGCCCTGGGGCACATTGACAGAAGCGAGGCTGCCGAGCACTGCCGCCACCGGTCTCTCCGACCACCACCAGCAAGCAAGGAGGGTAAAGCGTCTTTCCCAAGAACACAATGACAGCGAAAACTGAGCGGGGCTTGAACCTGCAACCTTTCGATTATGGGGCGAGCACTTTACTCTTTTGCCACCATCGCACCGATATGTAGTTTGTTGATTTTTTTTCTATGAGGTAATGCTTATTGAGAAAAAAAATTTGAAAAACAACCTTTTTTATTACAAAATGGATTTAAAATGGAAAAAAGACAATACATAAACACATTTGTTCCTTTTATGAAATACATTTTTGTCATCTTCTGTTTTTTTGCTCAGGCTCACGTTTGGAAGTCATGCCTGGTGGAGAAACACTTAAAGTTTCTGCTTGGCTCACGCGGACTATTGTGGTTACAGGTGTATGCTGGTGGTGAACGTGTGGAGCAGCAGGCCAGCCCTGGCAGCATGGTGAAGGCCCAGAAGTCACCTGGGAGGAAGACTTCTCAGTGTCTCCGCAGACAGGTACTGGGAGACAAAACACCCACGTGTCACTGTTCAGTCCTCTCATTCCACCGCCCCATTTCAGCTGATTTTAATGGAAACCTCAGATTTTTAATGCCGAGTCGTGAGAAAAATCAGTGAATTGATTCCTAATGTCAAAAACGGAAATGGCGCAAAACAAAAGATCCTGGTGATCTATTGAAATTTCAGGAATTATTGTCCTCATTCTCTGCCAGCATCACTGATGCAAAGAAAGCGTTCTACACTGACAAAATTCTCAGCTCTACTGACTCTCAGAAACTATTTTCAACATTCAAAACTCTGCTCATTCCTCCATCTCCACCTCCTACCAACAATCTATCAGCTGGCACCTTTGCCTCATTCTTCACTGACAAAGTGGCAGCTATAAACAAACAGTTTACTCAACTGGCCACTCCTTAACATTCACTACCACAAACTCCTTCAAGCCCAACCATCTCAGGCCCTACTCCTTCATTTTCCTCTTTTTCCCCTGTCACTGAGGACTGTGTGTCCAAGCTTCTCACATGCAGCCGCCCTACCACATGCCCACTTGACCCCATTCCGACTAAGCTGCTCCAAGCTATTGCTCCCACAGTAGCAGCAGCAGTCACACATGTGATAACGCTTCACTGACATCCGCTACATTTCCCACCTCTCTCAAGCATGCTCAGGTTAAACTGCTGCTAAAAAAAAAACATCTCTTCCTCCAAATCATGTGGAGAACTACCGACCTATCTCTCTCCTCCCTTTTCTGTCCAAAATCATTGAAAGGGTGGCTTTCAAGCAGATCACAGAATACCTCTCACAAAACTGTCTGCTTGACCCTTACCAATCTGGCTTCAAAAAGGGCAACCACTGAAACTGCTCTGTTAGCAGTGACTGAATCCTTAAAAGAAGCTAGAGCGACTGCCAAATCCTCAGTGCTTATCCTGCTCGACTTATCGGCTGCATTTGACACTGTCAACCATGGCTTCCTTTTGTCCACACTCTCTACCATGGGCATCACAGAGAAAGCACACGCCTGGTTTGAACCGTACCTCACAGGATGATCATTCAGTGTATCTTGGCTTGGACAATCCTCTACCATGCACCATCTTGCCACAGGAGTCCCCCAGGGCTCTGTACTAGAACCTCTTCTCTTTGCCATATACACCACCTCACTGGGTGAGATCATTCGATCACATGGCTTCTCCTACCACTGCTATGCAGACGACACCCAGCTCTATCTGTCATTTCCACCAGACGACCACACTATCTCAGCACGAATATCAAACTGTCTCTCTGGCATATCAAAAGGATGAAATCCCACCATCTCCAGCTCAACCTATCTAAAACTGAACTACTTGTCATCCCAGCAAAACCATCCATAAAGCACAATGTCTCAATCCAAAATGACTTCCTATGTCTGGCTCCTTCAAAGGCAGTTAGAAATCTGGGTGTTGTGATTGATGAACACCTGAGCTTTAAAGATCATGTTGCCTCTGTTGCTCATTCATGCCGCTTTGCGCTGTATAACATACGAAAGATCAGACCATACCTAACACAACATGCCACCCAGCTCCTGGTGCAATCTACTGTCATCTCCCGCCTCGATTACTGCAATGCTCTTCTAACTGGTCTTCCAGGCAGTACTGTGAGACCTCTTCAAATGGTCCAGAACGCAGCGGTGCATCTGGTCTTCAATCAGCCTAAAAGAACACACGTCACCCCTCTGTTCATTGAGCTCCACTGGCTACCGCTAGCAGCACGCATCAAATTCAAATAACACTAGCATACAAAGTCCGAGATGGTACGGCTCCCATCTACCTGAATCCTCTTGGAAAGGCTTACGTCTCGGCCCGGCCGCTCCTGTTATCACAGGATTGTCGGCTAGCAGTGCCTACACCACGCTCAGGACAATCCAGACTTTTCTCATGCATCGTTCCACAAATGTGGAATGACCTACCAAGCACTACCAGAACAGCGGCTTCCTTTTCAGTTTTCAAGAAACTCCTGAAGACCCTGCTCTACAGAGAGCATCTTCTTAACTAGCACCCTCCCTGCACCCGTCCCCCCTTCTCTACTGTCCACTCCTTGTTCCCTACTCTCCATGACTGATGTCAATGTTGTTGTTATTGTTGTTGTTAGCCTCAAGGGCAACATGCCGATTATCACTTGTAAGTCGCTTTGGACAAAAGCGTCTGCTAAATACATAAACATAAATTCATGAAGATGTTAAATGAATGTTTGTTACAGATAAAAATTGAGCTTTTACTAATCGTTTGTGTGACTGGGTGAAGAATGAATCTAATCAAATGACCCAAACTACAGAAAACATCAGAGTTTAAAAGTTAAATTTTACAACAACAAAATAAGAATTCAATAGAAAAAAGAGGAGGAAAATAAGAAATTATCCAGGAACACTATGAATTTAAAAAATAACATGTAAGGAGTTCTTCTGCTCCGTCACTGCCGTCAGCCCCAGACTTGGTCTGGAGTCTTTTTGCCTGAAGGTATTTTTTGTCGGTGCAGCTCAGTCAGGTGAGATCAGGTTAGTCGACTCGGCCACTTAAAGGTTACTTTTTCTATCGTTGTTTTCACCACAGATTCACATCCAGCTGAATTACAATCTGTTTTACTTACTGTTGGGACGACAATGGCAGACGGTGCCCGTCTTGTAACCAGAGGGTTGTGGGATCGAGTCTCTCGGTCTGTCTCACCACCAGTGTGTGTGCATGGGTGAGGGATAGTTAGTTGTAAAGCACCTTGGGGCGTTGTAGAACCCTAAAATATGCTATATAAATACAGACCATGTACCCTTTATTTGGTGTAAAATAGTCTTTAATTGTTACCCAATCAGCTTTAATAAATGTATGTTTACTTTTAGATGTTCAGAACGTTCACTCAGGTCTTTGTAAAAGATCCAGTTGTAATAAAAGAACAAGTCATTTGTATTTTAAAGTAAATGTTGAACTTGTAAAATTAGAGATGCACTAAAAAGTTGGTTGGTGATCTGAAAACTTAGCACGATCTGCTGTTTTTCTCAGGTCACGATGCATTTCACACACATGAGAGTCTTCATGCTTTATATTTTATGCTCTAAGAGCAATAATTAATGGAATAACAGTTCTTCCAGAATAATAAAGTTGATCAGTAATAAAAATAAGAATTATTATAATAATAAATCAGTATATTTTAATTCTACATCTTCTACCTTACATGTGACATAAATCCTGAATAGTCGATTGAACCCTTATGTAAACTGTGGGGGACTCCCTGTTGCTTCCTCTTTTTTGGCACCAAACTATTACACTTAGATTTCTTTAGTTAAGTTTTGTTGTAGAAAATGAGGTCAGTTGTCAGATTTGAGACATTTTTTCTTATGATTGCCACAAGATTGAGTAAAGATTTATTTAAAAGGGTTGTGATGCTAATGCATGAGAGTGTAATGTGAGTGTTTAGTCCTGTGGTGATGTACTGTAATGTGCCTAATGTGGAGTCATTTGTCCATCTTCAAGGACAGCAGGGACACCAGGAGTTAGTGAGATCGACACAGACAGAGAAAACGAGGATAAACTGGTTTGTAAGGAAGGAGAAAAGATTAGCGACTGAAAGGGAAGGAAGGTCTGGTTAAGAGACACAACAGGGTGTGCACACACTCGGAGGAGTTTGGAATGGAGTCATTTGTCTGCTCCAGGGTGGTTGTGGATGACGGGGGTAATGTTCCCTCGCAAATATCTTAGACGCTCAGAAGACGTGACAGTCTCATACAAACCATGACACACCCAGCTGCTGTGACCTCTCCTCCTCTAGAAAGTGTCCTGGTGGACAGGTTCACGTTTTACTATCAGTGGTCTTAATTTTGTTGAGAGGCATGAAAGTTTGCATCATTTTAAAACACTGGGTTCAGATTAGAAACATCCCGGGCTTCTAATCAGTGTTACAGGCATCTCTCACCAAACGAGCCTTTACATTTTGGTTTACATCATGCCATGCAAAGGATGTCCTTACCTTTGTACGGCATCAGTCAGTTTGATTGAATTTCCTCCCATGTTCCTGTTTCTGTCTCAGACTGGTGGTCAGAGTGAGATGGAGAAATGCCAGCTCCCTTTGGACCCACAGTGCCCCCCACAGGGACAGCCCAGAGGAGAGCAGACCCATCTCCAGACTCCTGCTGCCCCAGACAGCTGGGACCACCAAGAGGCACCAGTGGAAGTCCGTAGGAAGAGCGATCCAGCCGTCCTATCCCAAGCCAAGCCTCTGTGGAGACCCATTCCCCCCCTGCTGCCTGAGCCCCAAAGAGAGGGGGGCCCCACCGCTGAGACCATGGAGCAGAGCTGCCAGACTGAGGAGCTGAGCACCGCTCACAGTCATGGTCACGACACAGGTGGGTCTCTTCCTTTTGCTTTTCTTCCCAGTTTGACTAATTCACCTTCAAGCTAAAACCGCCTCACCCCCACCCCGTGCAGTTTTACCGCTGGAGCATTAGGAGTAAAACTGCTCCAAGTGTTTTTGGCTTAAGCACCACCGTGCGCACAAACTTCAGCCCAAACATTTAAGTATCTGTACTGCTGCTCCTAATGTGGCTTTAGCAACATTTAAAAATCAAGTCAGTATGATTTTGCTTTTATCCAACGGTCCTGCTCTTATACTTTTTGAGTGAGAATAGTCGTAAAAGAAATTGGTTCTGTGAGGTCATTTCTTCCTGAGTCTGGTTGTTCTGGCACAGATTGCTGTGGAGGTCAAAGGTTACCGGGTTCGGCAACCTGCACCGCTGGGATTATATCAGCTTAGAGGTGGAAGTGTGATGGAATGAAAAAGGCTCTCTGGCGCACATAATCTCCATCACTTATTTTAAGCCCGTCCTACAATTGTCATTCACATTTCCTGTGGCTTTTTTTTCCTCTCTTCATGAGAAGCTTGTTCCCTTTTCACACTTTGACCGCAGACAGACAGACAGACAGACAGACAGACAGACAGACAGACGGACGTGAGATGGATGGAGTCAGGGCTGAACTACCCACACCAGTCTCCTGAATAACCTTGGTCTATGTTTTTTCTAGATGGGGAGGGCTGAGGCAGCCTGACACACTTAGTGCATCAGTCTGAACTGGTTATCACCTACATTCACACAAACACGTTGGTCACATTACAGCTGAGCAGACGTGGCCTCCTCTATTGTCTGATTGGTGTATGGAGCCTGGAACCGAGGCCTTTGCTGCAGTAGAAGTAGTTTCTTTAGTCAGAGAAGGCGGACAGCATCAGCCACTGTTTGTTTTACTGTGTGTTTATTTTCTATCTGTCAAACAGCACATAAATGAAGTGGTTAATATTGTTTATAGAGCAGGTAAATTGAGAGAACTACTTTAGTCTGTAGTTTTGAGGCTTTCAGCCACAGTCAGCTGGTGTAATTAATGCAGAAACTAGAGTAAACACTTTAATGCAAAGATGTTTTCAGGCAGATACTTTGCTCTTTGCAGTATTTACTTTTTTATGCATTAACAAATTTAATGCAATCAACATAACGTCTAAGCTACTGAAAACAAAATAAGAGTCCTGTAATTATCAGATGTTTTCAGATGCTGCCTTTTGCTCTAGAGAACATGTGTCAGACACAAGGATCTGGCCCAAGGAGCATTTTTATGGAGAGAGTGCTCGCTCTAGAATGTTCCAGAATGCTATCAAGTCTGAAAACTGGAAGGAATTGGACTGACTCTGATGGAATGGGCGGGGGTGACTCTGGAGCAGCCCCACCTTCTGGTGTAGCTCCGCCTTTGTGGTTCTGCAGCGAGCACCACTTGCTTTTATGTGGCCCACGAGATAAATATCAAAAATATATTAAAAATGACCCGCTGGTCAATTTTACCACAAAGACTACAACGCCCATGATGCTTTGCGCCGTTAGTAAATCAGTGGAGCACACTGAGCTTTAAATATGTTGGTTTTATGCTCTTTTTCTGCTCCAAAACATGAAAGTTAACAGGTGAGATGTTGCATTTTGATTTAAGATAAAATGATATTTTTATTTTGTTGTTGGCCCGTGAGAAAAGATTTAACCTACAGTAAACAGGAAGTGGAAAGGCTGCAGATATATGAATAGAATAGAAAATCCCTTTATTGTTCCTCAGTGGGGAAAGCTAGACGTCACAGCAGCGATGACACTTATTACAGGAGAAAAAAAGGAGAATAAAAAATAAAAAAAATGAACAAACAACAAGAAAACATAAATCCTGAATAGATTTACCACAAGTAATGAATACCACTGATGCCTTTTATTTAAAATTGACTTGCTTTTGTGTAATTTGGTTATTCCGCATTCAGTGTTAATGCAAAAATAAGTTTGTTTCCAAATTAAAACGTTCTAAATTGCATATATGTTGATAAAGAAAATGTGCAAATTTGCCGTCACTTTTTCAAAAAATATTAAGTTTGGTCCTCGACTCCGTCCCAGAGTTTCATCTGCAAAGGCCTCAGACAGAGCTGAGTCGTTGGGGCGGGATCTATGATCGTCTTTCAGATTGTCTCTGCATGCAAATGGACAGTGCAAGGATCAGTCAGACCAACGAACATCTCAACTTTTTCATAGTGATGGAAATCAGTCAACGGTTCTTTATACACCGTTGAAGAAGTACCTCTATCTAGTACACCATTATCCGTGGTCTCCAGGGCTGTCCAGCAGGCACGCAAGGACGAACAGAGTAGAACAAAAAGTCTAAATATCCGTCGAAAGCGACAGACTGCAAACCTGTGATTAATAATAATTGTATTTATATGTCACAATTCATACATGAAATGCAGCTCAAAAGACCCCACATACCCACATTCCCTCCCATCCCCAGGAATGTAAAAGCATTTTAAAAACAATACCCCCTCATTACACTCATGATAAATGATAAATGACCCGCACTTGTATAGAGCCTCAGAGTGAGGACTCCAAAGCGCTTTACACTACAGTGCATCATTCATCCATTCACACTCATTCACACACTGATGATGATGAGCTACGATGTAGCCACAGCTGCCCTGGGGCACGCTGACAGAGGCGAGGCTGCCGAGCACAGGCGCCACCGGTCCCTCCGACCACCACCAGCAGGCAAGGTGGGTTAAGTGGCTTGCCCAAGGACTCAACAGCAGAATTCTCTGTCCGGAGCCGGGATCGAACCTGCAACCTTCCGATTACTGGACGGGTTGAGCTTATGTTCTGACACACGCACACAGACGCACGCACGCACACACACACACATGACATAAGAAAGAAAATAAAACACTCTGGGCTGAGCTCAGATGAGCCAGAGAAGCCAAGTTAAGGAAACATCACTAGGGGAGCCATCACCGACACAGGGCACCCAGGGGAGAGAGGGCTGAGACCCCCACCTCCCCCCAGGCCGCCACAGCCGACCTCCGCCCCTGGGACAGAGGGCTTCCACAGAGGAAACACTGGAAAGGATAAAATAAGGTTAAAATATAGGATGGTAAAACTTTGATGAAGGTATAAAGATAAGATTTAAAAAAAAGAATAAATGAGTAATACAAATAATCTGTTAAAAGCTAAGCTAAAAAGGTGAGTCTCTAAAAGACAGTAAAACTGATGGAATAAAACATAAGGATAAACTAAATAAAATAATAGATAAATGAATAAATCAATAATAAAAATCAGCTAAAAGCTAAGCTAAAACAAAAAAGGTGAGTCTTTGCCAGGAGGCCGCTTCTTTAACTTTGTCAACAGGGTTAGGCAGCCATCTTTGGTTGGGTTGACTCCAAACGTAGTCAGTTGTAGGAGCAGGGTTACTTTCTGATTGTTTAGGTCCTCTCAGACCGGTCCAGGCAGAAGGACACTCACTCGGATCCTGCTTCAGTTCTGTTGGAGGTCATTTCCTGTTAAAAGGGACACGTGTTCCTCTGTTCCCCATGGTACCACACACCTCCACAGTTTCATTACATTGGGTGCAACTGACTGACGAGTACTTTATGATCTAATGAATTTGGTTTTTCTATAGTGGTGTGAATCTGGTGCTCAGAAGCTGGTCAGTGATCCAAACCCTTCCTCTTCTTGCAAAAAAAGCAAAACATTTAGTAACGTGAGTCATTAAGTGTGTTCTGAGTCAGGCTGTTGTTTCTGACCAGCGCTGACCTCAGAGGACAAAATCCTCTCCAGCGTGACTCTCTGGCTCGCTGTGTGTTTTCTGTCAGTTCCCCTTGAGACAAACCCCGCTGAGAGATGACCTTTGGAAAGATTGTTGTCATTTTGTCTTTGTAGTTTTCTGCTGCTGAAACACTGATGTTATGATTGGTGTGTGTGTGTGTTTGCCTGGCTTCGTAGCAGCTGTCCTGACTCTCCATGTGAGGCTGTGTTTCTCCGAGACGTTCCCACTCTGATGTAATTAGGAGCTGACTTTGACAGAGCGCTGCCTCTCTCCCCCCCTGTAGGTTTGTGTGCTGAGCCTGGTGATCCTCCTCTGCTCCAGCAGCCTCTACAGACCTCCAAGTCCGGGATTCAGCAGATAATTGAATGCTTCCGATCAGGTTTGCGTCCCTCTTTGATTTTATTTACTGCCTCCTTTCTCAGCCTCATGTTTTTCTTTTGAACGTGTTTCCTGTTTTCGTTGTGCTGTGGTTCATACACACCGTTGGGAGGCCATGGACTGTTGCTTGATTTATTACTGGAGGCTTGGATTCCGTCTCTATAAACCAAAGCCCGTCTTAATTATTTATGATTTAATTGGTCCTTCTTCCCATCTATTCCTTCATTCTCCTGATTATCTGCGTGGTTTTAAAGCATGGTTTTGCCATCTGTTCTGAAACGAGATGAGGTCAGTTATGTTGCGAGGATTCCCCAGGTCCTCATTCGCTACCTGCTTGAACCGAGCAAGCCGAGATCAGCCTCTAGTTCAGGAAAAGCAAAAGAAGCTTATACAGATAATTATTATGCATCATTAGAAAAGTGGAAAGACGGCAGACCCGTTATGTGTTTGAGAAGCTTTGCTAGAATAAATTATGAATGAAGCTGCAGTCATGCAAGGTTATGGTTGATGGATGGGCGTGGAAACATGTAGCATTAGCATCTCCCCTCCATGATGGACATTTATTCCTCCCGCTGCCTCAGTAGGGCAGCAAACATCATCAAGGACAGCTCCCACCCTGGCTTCAACATGTTCAGACTGCTTCCCTCAGGGAAGCGCTACAGGTGCATTCATACAAAACCCCTCAGACTCAAAAACAGTTTCTTCCCCAAAGCAATAACCACCCTGAACTCACACATGCACCGATAACACAGCCCCCCACTTCCCACTTCCTCCATTGACCACCATTATCTATTTATATCAAATTCCATGTGCAATAATTGTATATACATAACATTACTGTCCATATGTACATAGCGCTGCAGAACTGTACCCCCCCCCCCCCCCCCAGTATGTTTTTTACACTGAGTAGGAGATGCTCTGTATCTCACTTTACACCTGTATAGTGACAATAAAGGCATTCTATTCTATTCTATTCTATTCATTAGAGACCCAGTCTCTACTAAGTCTTCATTAGAGCCTCATGAAATACAAACAAATCTCTGATTTTTCAGCTTTTATTTTTCTAAACAAATACTTTAAGACAATAAAATATGGCGTTCCGAAGTGTAAAAACTGAGATAAATGAATTTAGGGGAAAACGGATGGATTTTAAATGGATCTACTTATTTTCACTCTCGTCAGTCAAGCCAAAAACACACTAAACCCCAACAAGCGTGGACCCTTGTGTATATGTGATCGACCAACTACCGTTTCCACGTCAGTAACTGAACTTGGAGATACCAGCTTGTTCTAGTTGCTGCAATAATAAAAATAGTAAAATCTGAACAAGCCTCTATGGTAATAAATTAGCACAACATCCCACCTCTACATGACCCAGAAACAGTCCAGTTGTCTGGGTCTGCTGCCAGATACTCTGGTCGGTCCCGTGTGTTTATCCACTGCTGCTGATGTGAATATTTATTTTAGATTTGTGCGATAAACATTTCCACAAGTGCTGGTAGGAATTACAAATCATTTAAAGTGTAGTGACGTGACCTAGAACAGCTGATCGCTCTTATTCTCAAAGATTTATCTTGTTTTGCCTATGCATTAGCTTTGTCTGCTAAATAATTCTGAATTGACCTTTAGAGGGAGCGTGTTTGTGGTTGTGGAACTACTCCTGGATGCTGAGAATGAGCTGTGGAGGCAGGGCAGGATGCTGGAAGACCTAATCTAGCTGTTTATTTTGTTTGGCAGGCACCAGCCAGCTGAGGCACATGCTGCTGAGAGAAGTGGACACCATCTTTGAGTGTAAAGTGTGTCGCAGCCTGTTCAGAGGCCTCCCCAACCTCATCACTCACAAGGAGTACTACTGCTTATCACGGCTGCCTGATTCTGATGGTTAGTGACTCGGGATGCTCATGCGTACACATTTCTAATTCTAGCTTTTGTCCTAAAATCAAAGGACAAAAGCACACAGAACATCAAAAAGCACAGATGTCCAAATCTCAGGAAGAAGAAGGGGGTGATAAATAAGAGCTGCAGGCCAAGGCAGAAAATGTTCAAAGCAAACACTTGAAAGGATCGCATGGGCCAACTGTGACTCCCCAAACAAGACTGGGATCAAACTTGACTTCCACTTTGGCTCAAAGAACTCTGAAATCTACACATTCACTTGCTGCCTTCATCGTCTCCTTGGACTCTGTCGAGTTTTACTTTCTTATTCTGTCACTGCAAGCGTCCGTCGTCCGCTTCTACACCATCTGTCTCCTACTTATTATTCTCTCATCATTTTCTCTCGCCTTTACACACGCACACACACACCCACTCCAGGATACGGCGAAGCCCATCAGAGTCTCTGTTATCCATCCATCCATCCTCTCCTCCTGGAAGAGAAATCAATCCCAACAATTACTGCCGTAAAACCCGTTTCTATCATAATCTTATCTCCATTAGATCGTAACGATGTTGTCCTCTTCACAATGAAGTAGCTTCTGACCAGTTTACAGCTGCCGGTCTAATGAGTCGTTTGTTCATAAATGACTTAATCGCGGTCATCATTTCCACTACAACGTGCTGTTGGGTGTGATCCATTCTAAGGTTCATCTCTGCAACAAAGACCGCCGTTTGGACAGAGGATTCCAGAACTCCTTCCTGTCGGTCTACGTAATAAAAAGATCATCGTAGACATTTACGGTGGCAAACCAAATTTACAAGATGCTAAACTTATTTCTGTCACCCATGACATGAAGTCACACACACACACGCACGCACATTCTAACAGCATTCCATCTTTTTGATGTTACCCTGTTGTTCTGTAACACAGAGAGGGGGTGACTGGCTCCTATGAGATTAAAGAGCAAGTCACCCCCTACAAGAAACTTACTTCACTCCCTCTTCATGTTTGAAAAATGCAACAAAAGCTGTTGCCTGGCAGACCGAGAGGGCGGAGCCACTAACAAATACACACACACAGGCTCACAATGGCATTGTGACATCATAAGGACCAGTTTACATCATAGCATACCTCTTAGCCAATAGCGATGGCAGATTTAGATTCTAATGCAGTGCAGAGTTTTTACCTGACAACGGCACAAAGCTGACAGTTTTAGGCAGAAAATTACAATTTGAACTAAAATGCACTAAAGTACAAAACTATTGACTACACGTGTCTGCAGCATGATTAGACACACATTTATATAGTTTATCAGAAAAAAAAGTTGATTTGGGGGTGACTTGCTCTTTAAGTTGTCTGCTTAGATTTTTCCGCTGTTGTCTGAAGCCTGTGTACAATCAGCTGCTCCAGGTAGGCAGGTTGGGGTTCAGCGTGGGTCAAAGACATTTTAGCAGGACAGCTGTTGCTGCATGGGAACTGGCTGTTCACTTTTTATTTTATTAGGTTGACCTGCAGCCGTGTGGCCAAACTCAAATCTGTGACCTGCAGGTGCAGCATGAGAATGCTTTCTGGAGCATTGCTTGAAATTCTGTTTACATGCCGATGGCAACCATTAAATTTAATGTTTTGCCAAAAATTCAAACCATAATGGTCTTTGAAACATACAATCCTGGAAAAACCTTCTCCGATCATCGTGTCCCGTTCTCATGAAACATCCGTCAAACCAATGGCACGTTCTCAGCTAGGAGCAGCTGAACAGGAAGTGAAGCGAAAGCCGGGTGGAATGTTCCATTCTGTTTGTGTTTGCTAATACCATTTAGAAAGAATGAAAACGTTTTTTTTAGAAAACACCTCAAGATAAATATCACGAGGCTCTTCACAAGAACAAAAACTTAAAAAAAAAAAGAGGAAGAATGGGGTAATCAGTGGGTCTTAGGAAAGGCAGAATAGGTAGAAAGAACAGAATAAGGAGAGGGTGGCGATGAAGGTCACAACAAAGCCTGAACAAGTGAGTTTTCAGCTGCTTTTTAAAGGAGACCACTGAGTCCACTGATCTCAGGCTCAGGGGGAGAGAGTTCCAGAGTCTGGGGGCCACAGCAGCAGATGACCCGTCACCTTTGGTCTTTAGCCTGGTGCTGCACAACCGGCTTTGGTCACTGGACCTCAGGGACCTGCTGGGGGTGAGAAGATCACCAATGTCAGATGGTGCTTGTCCATGTAAAGCTGTGTTCCGTATCGTACCGACTTCATCAAGGACACGAGGAGGAGACTGTGACCTTTGAGCGCCTGAATCCATCTCCAACTCTTCATAACAAAAATAAACAGACAGCAAAGTCACTTTTCTGTAGTTTGTCATAGTACAACAGCTTGTTGTCCAAAGGAAGAAAACGTTTTATAAATTCTTAAAGAAGAATGCAAAGAATTAGCTGAATAACAAAAACTATCTGAACTATTAGCTTTACTCTACACGGTGCTTTTTACTTCATTATTATCCAAAGCCTGAAACGAGTTATGTTCCTAGTGTTGAAACGGACAAAAACCATATTAAATGTGCTAATGTTCTCTAACAGGTCCTCCGGGGGATGACCGACAGAGTGTCGCCATGAAAGATTTACTGGAGGCCATTTATCCCAGACCTGACTACGTGGTCCGACTAGAGCCTATTCAGACCACCAACAAGGCGGTGTTCCAGTATCTCACCACAGAAGAAGAGCTGGCCCAATATCCCTCACACACCACCAGGTCAGCAGCAAACCAGTATGTTACTGGTTTACATTCCTATAAACACAACATAGAGATAAACTGGTTAGTCTTTCCCCATGTTGGTGACAAAGTGCCAGGGAGAGTCCGGTAGCCTGGGAAGGAGAAGCTACGGAGAGTGTAGAAAACACTCAGGTCAACCAGCCGAGTGGTTCAGAGAGTCCAGGACACAACCATGGCCAGAAGAGGTGGGATGCCGAAGAGGAGGCTAAAGAGGAGCAGCCGCAGCCTGAAGACGAGGAGTCTAACAGCGGGGTAGGAGACCAAACGCTACAGACCCAGGAATGGTTCTTTGTCTTGTTTCTGATGGTGAGTAAATCTGTTTTCTGACTCTCATCCCACTCAGGTGGAGGATGTGACCATCTCCTGTTGTCTTTGCGGTCAAGACTTTAACTCTCGCCGCAGCATCCGGCGCCACTGCCGCAAAATGCATCAGACGAAGCTGGAGGAGCTCAGAAAGTTCACAGAGACACGCACCGTTCCCACAAGCCTGCTCTCCATGGTCAAAGGTGTGTTTTATACTAAATAAGATACTTCTGGTACTTATTTTCACTTGTCAAAGAACTTTATCATTAGTAACAATTTCTGATGGTGTTTGAGGTCGGCCGCGGACTCTCAGCACACCGACTGGGAAATCCTGCCCCGTGTGCCTCAAAACCTTCGCCACCAAAGCCAACGTACGCCGCCATTTTGATGAGGTGCACCGCGGCCTGCGGAGGGACACCATCACTCCCAGCATTGCCTCGCGGCCCGGCCAGCCTTTCTCGCTGGAAGCCACGCCCCCCAGGAAGAGCAACAACTCCTCTCCAACACGTAGCCAGAGCACGAAGTCTGCGCCCGTGACCCCGAAGGCGAACACGCCCACCCAAAGCCAAGGAAAAGCCCCGAGTCAGCCTCCAGCCTCTCCACAGACCAACTCGACCTCGTGTCGCTGCACGCTCTGCAAGAGGAACTACAGCTCCCAGGTGAGTTTTATGGAACCCATCAGCAGCTTTAGGTCGCTCTTTTTTGTTCTTGATGACTGTCTGTGTGTCTTTTAGCTCATGCTGAAGAGACACATGCGTATAGTTCACAAGATTTACAGCATCAAAGGGAACAAGTCTGCTGCCACGCCCCCCCCTGCTACCATGGTAACCACCACCACCACCAGCAGCAGTACCAGCACCACTGCACCAGCCCTTAGCAACAACATCAAAGTGAAGGAGGAAGCAGTGGAGCCCTCAGATGAAGAGGACAATGAGGACGTTGACAGCAGCCCTGCGCCGTCTCCCGCCGACAGCAGCGAGACCACCAAAGGAGTTTCTAACAATCCCACCAAGGTGAAGGAGGAGGAAGCTCCATCCAGCCCAAAGGTAGCACCACCCTTGTCTTCATCCTCCTCCCGTGGTGGCAGCGTGTGCAGTGGCAACATGGCCGCCAAAATGACCAAACTGTCAGTGGGCTTCGACTTCAAGCAGCTGTTCTGTAAGCTCTGCAAACGCCAGTTCAGCTCCCGTCAGAACTTAACCAAACACATCGAGCTGCACACAGACGGCAACGACATCTTCATCAAGTTCTACCGCTGTCCCCTCTGTCGCTACGAGTCCCGCCGCAAACGGGACGTGCTGCGTCACGTGACCGTGGTCCACAAGAAGTCTTCTGCATACCTGGCAAAGATCATGCCCAAACTGGAGAGCAGGGCGGTGAAGAGGCTGGCCGAGGTGGTCCTCAACAGCACCAACAAGAGGACGAGCAGCAGCGTCAAGGAGGTGACGAACGGACGTCACTCCTCCTCCTCCTCGTCCCCCCCTCCATCTCCTCCTGTCACCCGCAAACAGGAGTGCTCCATATCTGCCCCAACCTCCTCCTCAGCCTCTTCCTCGTCCTCGTCCTCATCCTCCTCCTCCTCGTCTGCTCCTCCTCCTGCCCCCGTCACTCGGAAACAGCAGGAGCTCTCGTCTCCAGGCTTCGCCCCGTCTCCCCCCATCACTCGCAAGCAGGAGAGACAACATACGACGGCTCACCAGCCCCGCCCTGTCAGCCCCCCGCTGACCCGCCGCAGTGAGAAGCACTCACACACCCGCAACTCCTCCTCCTCCACCACCCCGTCCAGCATCCTGACCCCACACACCCGCAGGCACGACGTCCAATCAGACAACAGTACCGGCACGTCGTCAACCGAAGTCCGTGTGACGAAGAACTTCTCCCTCCACGCGTGTGACCAGTGTGGGCGGGCCTTCGCCAAGAAGGTAAGAGTTTATGCCGCTCGCAGAAATACTTGTCTTTATTTGGTTTTTAGATATTTTTTAAGTGAAAACTGCTTTTTAATAACAAACTCTTCAGCTGTATCTGGAGTCTCACAAGCGGAGCCATCGGAATGCAGCCACAGCAGCAGCCAGCAGGAGGAAAGGAGTCAGCACCCGCTCCAAGTCCCTGATCTGGTGAATCCCAGGTTAGAACACACCTGTTTACTTCTCTTCCTGTTTCACTTGAGCTGGATTCTCCCCCCCGACCGTAGCTGCGCGCTCTGAATCCACCAGCATGAGATCAGGTGTGGTGAACATCTGTCCTGTTGCTTTGTTTACTATTGACATGTTCACCAGCTGTGCCCCTAAACCTCCTTATTTTTCACGTTACTCATCAGAAATTTCCATTTTTATTAAAGTTTCAATAATTAATTGATCTGATTTCTTACCGTTTTTACATCTAAGATTTTCATCGTTGTCTCTTTGTTTTTTCTCCAGATTCACAAACTGCCACAAATGAAGGAAAACGAGCGACAAACAAATCAAAACTGGAGAACTCTTACACACACGCACGCACGCACACACACACACACACACACACACACGGAAACATGAAGGAAAACAAAAGGAGCGTTATGGAAGGCTGGAATTCTTCCCCTCTTGCTTAGGAACCAAAAGCGTTGTTGCGTTGCTTCATCAGGAAACCAGCCAGGCTGCAGCAGCTGGTTTTACTGCTTTGCTTCTGGCACCCTGGTTTCATTAGCAGCTCCACGCAAAACATATAAATTAGAAAATAAAGAATAATGCTTGTTTCTGTCCTCCTTTAGCAGCATCAGCTCATTAGGATTTCTACCGTCACACATTTAAATCAGAGGTTTTATTTTTAATACGACCAGTTCCCTGAAATGTGTCATCACCTTTTCCCTCCTTCCACATTCCTTTCTCAAATTATTTCACCAGATTATTTTTGATTGTATTTCAATTCAGAAGACTTCACCTCAGAAATGAAAATACCTTATTTTCTAAATGAAATGTTCCCCGGTCGGGCTAAACCAACTCTGTGATGCCTGCTGTAGGTCTGGAGGTCCAGGGCAAAAGCCAAAGTTTCTTTTTGTAAACCCAGCATGCTGTCCTCTCACACTTAACGATACCCTCCATCTTTTCTCCTGGAACTGTTTTACATGTTATTGATGTTTTGTGTGTCCTGCTCCACCTCTATTTATAAAAAATGAATCTGTGATGCTGTACGAAAACCATTCAGAGGAGTTTCCTTCCAAACAAAACAGATTCTATTATTAAATGATAGTAAACAGGTTTTAGTGAATGGAGATGATTAGGAGGAGTTAACAGCTCACAGCCATGCTGCCTTAGCTTTTAGAAACCAACCACCTTCATCTTTCACCTCCTAGCATCACAGCAACACATCCTTGGTGCCTGAGCAGCCGGTGTGAAGGGTTGGAAATAAAACACATCCACTGTTGAGGTGAAAACAAAACGTTTACACTCAACGCTTTACTTCAATAAATTATATATATATATAGATGAAATAAACACTGGAACATATTTAAACAAACTTTGTAAACTTTTCTCTACTGATAAGAATTTTGATGGAATTCTGCGTCATTTCCTTATAAGATATGCTTTCATGTAGTCCAGCCAGGGGGTGTTTGGCCCCTAAATGTAGTCTTAGAAACACTGAGTTGGGAGAGGAGGAGCGACCAAATGTAGGTATGTCTTAATTTTCAAACAGAAAGCCATGAAATGGAACAAAATCAGAGAAAAAGGCAGACCAAACTATTTTTGTAGCAGAAACTGCTTGTGCAACAAAGTTGGATGTGTATATATGGATTCATCCTGCGTGGGATGGTATAAATACTAGTTATAAAAGTTATTTACTTGTATTGGTTGACCATACGCTTCAAACATGCCCACCTAGTTCTGACCCGTCACTGTTGAACCCTGAAGCAAGCTTGTGTTTCGTTATGAGTTGTTTTGTTTTCTCTCTCTGAATCTTATTCCATTTGAAGGAGAAAGTGTTTTTGTTCAAATGTGTCTAAACTTATTTTAGATTTTTTTTTAATCTTGACATTTGTTTCATCAGAAGTTGTGATATGTTATTAATCTTGTTCTCTAGAGAACGTCTGAAGTAGAAAAACCTTTCAGATGTGACCAGAATGTTCAAACTCAACCACTTCATAAATAAACATGTACTAATTAATCTATGCTGAGCTTTTTTTTATTCCAAAATGCTGATGGGATACGTTCAGATATCCTGTTCCTGTTTCTAATCTTGTCTAGGAGTTGTATTTGTCCATCCAGCCATCTTTTCTGCTTATCTGGATCTGGTCACGGGGGCAGCAGCCTAAGCAGGGAGGCCCAGGCTTCCCTCTCTCCAGACACTTGGGCCAGCTCCTCCGGGGGAATCTTAAGGCGTTCTCTGGCTTTAGGAGGCATCCTAACCAGATGCCCGAGCCACCTGAACTGTGAAGCTGGGAAGAATGAAGAAAGAATGGGAGAAAAACAGGAACCCCTACCTTGCTCCCAGTGGAGGACAGAGTTGGCTTGCAGGAGAAACATCAACATAAATGTGCATATTCAGACAGTCACAACATAATCGAACATGTGGGAGGGTGCGGGGATGCAGCCCGAGGGAGTTCGCAGCTAGGTCAGTGTGGACTTCAACCTCCGCTGTCATGGAGTGGGAAGGAGGGTTCAGGGGAGGAGGAGAGCGTAGAAGCATGGAAGGGGGGGGGGGGGGGGGGCGGGGCGTGTGTGTCTGAAATGTTGAGTTCATGCGTTTTACATCACTAAGTGAGCCCGTGACTTTTCTCCCAGTTCAGACAGTGTCTCCTCTTAAGATGTGATACGAGTTCCTGGCGAACTGATCCAAGCAGTTCACAAGCCCATGTGGGGAATGGAAAAAGGGGCGGAGCAACAGTAATCTCCAGGAGTTTAAAATCTTCAGCCTTCAAGGCTGAGATTGGGGGAGCCAAAATTAGGTAACTGTTTTTGCCATACCATACCGTAGTTTATTTATATAGCACGTTTAAAACACAGCATGGGAGCTGCCCAAAGGGCTGCACAGGCTAAAACAAAACGCGACCATTCTAAGGAACTAAAACAGAAAATACCAGTCAAAAGCAGATAAAACATGAATACTAAGAACACATTAAAACAATGACACAATAAAATACTAAAACGAGTAACTGTCTAAAAGCCAAATTGTAAAAGTGGGTCTTTAAATGAGATTTAAAAACTGCCAGTGATGGAGCCTGCCGAACTCCCAATGGGCAACGAGCTCCACAGCTTTGGGGCAGCATGCACAAATGCTCGTTCACCCTGCGATTTGTATCGCATCCGCGTGCACAGTAGCAAAAGGTCAGCCGACCTCAACATGCGCGTGGTACATATGGAGTGAGCAGGTCAGAGATAGGGAGGTGCCAGGTCGTTGAGTGATTTAAATACAAAAGTCAATAACTTAAACCTTACCTTTTGTTAACATTGCATTGTGACCAGGAAGTATAAAAACCCCGTGGAGGGAGCATTAAGGGTTCGGCAAGCAAACTAGTTTATTAGAGAGTTAAAAAATGCTACTCGCATTCTTCTATTTTAGATGAGAGTTCCTTGTCTCAGAGAAGTAGCCAAACGACATGAGCTTCCTTAAACTGGACTCAGTTTTAGAGATTATCTGAGGGGAGCAGTCATCCAGGGGGAGCTTGGATTAGAGCAGCTGCTCTTGAGTCATCTGAGGTGGTTCAAACATCTGATTCTGTTGCTTCCTTGTCATTTTCAGATCTTTTCTCTGGCTTCTGGTATTATCTATATCCCAGTTTCTTCCCCTTGAGCCCTCTAGTCATTCAGCACCTTCCACACCTGTCCATTTGTTAATCAGACCAGCTGCTCCTCGTTCCATTACTCGCCCTTGTCTCTTCAGTTCACTGTTAGATCCCACTGTCCTCCCTATGTTCAGTTCAAGTGTGAGGTTATTGTTTTTTCAGTGTCATTGTCTGGATCTTTGGTCCATCTTTCATCACATTTCATGACGGAGGAGTGATACTGGGGAGGTGGATATTAGATGGATCATTTAACAATAAAACCACCATGAGAATGTTGGGTCCCAGATCCTCATCAAAGGTTGATGTTTTATTGGATTCAGATATCAAACATTGTATTAGTGTTTAGTATTAAAGTATTAGAGGTGAAGGCTTTATTTGTAAGTTTAATTCGATCATTTTTGCTAAATAAGATCTCCTGTGTTTCCCTTTAAAAGAACAGGTATCCATACTGCAGTTACGCCTTCTGGCCACCAGATGGCAGCACGGCACCGCGCCTCCGCACCCTCAGCTGCGGCGGCAAATCCACAAATTGGACGTGTTGCGCACATCTTTCATCGCTGTCATAGAGGAGGGCACCCGTGTCTGTTTGGATTGTCTGGTTCCTGACTCCACACAGCTTATCAAATTGTTATTACACAGCAGATGGGACGCGCTTCATTTCTTTAATTCCATTCACGCAAAGCGCCGCGGCGCCCCGCTCCCTACGAGGGCTGGTGAAAATGGATTGAAGTTCGGCCAATTAAGAGTGTGGCGCAACGCCCGCGCGAGCCTACTCCTGATGACTTCCTAATGTGTTCATACAACCAAAGCCTTCTGTTGCGGAAACAACAACACAACAGGGAGGAGAATCGATCCGATTGATCAGTAATAAACTTGATGGAGTGGGCGGACCCGGCGGGAGGACGGTGGCGCAATTAGGCGATGATTTGGAGCGCGCGGAGCTATCCTTCACGTAGAGCGGCTCCCCCAGTCAGCGGCGGAGTCGTGCACGGAGAAGCCCGAAAGGAGCGGATGGGGATCGAGGCGTGCACGCGCGCGTCCGCGGAGCGGACTTGAATGAGAAGAGCGGGGAGGGGGGGTCTTATGCGCAAAGTGGCTGAGAGGATATGGAGGAGAATCAGGTGGGTTTTACTAACATTATTGATCAGCATCGTGCATGAGAAATTCCTGTGCTCCCCCTCTCCCTCACTCACCCTTTTTGCTTTCCTCCCCCCCTCCCCCTCCTCTGTGAGACTCATTCTTGGTCATCCTCAGCGCAGACAGCCTCCCTCTATTGTCTCCTTAAACAAGTGCGGAGTTAATAGTTGGATTTTGCGCGTAAACGCGTCCCTGCTGGTCACGACGGATCACTTTTTATACTGAAGCATCCCTCGCTGTCCCCACCTCTCTCCCCAGCGCCTTTTTGTTTTCGTCTTGGATGTCTTCAAACCAATCTGTGGTTTGGGGGGATCTTTCCTCAGGAGGACTGCTTTTTGTGGTTTTTATTTATTTATTTATTTTCCTGAGGTGTGAAACTGCTGAGCTCCGCAAGGAAGTTACCTAAGGCGCAGACGGTGGAGACGCAGGAGCTTCCTCTCATCTACATTGTTGAAGAGATTTAAATTGTTCCATTTCTGGGCTCTCTACATTTCCCCTGTCACCTCTCTCTTTTCTGGGTGATTTTATTTTGTGGCTCCTTGCATTCCTCCAGTTGGTGAGTACCCCAAATGACTTCACATCTGGACAAATAATCCCACTCGCAGATTAAGTGTGTGGTTGACATGCTGGGGACAGCAGAATAATGAGAGTGACATTTGCTCTCCCTCCCTAAAACCACCTTCTTAATTAGGGTGCAATCAGAACCCCACGGAACGAAGCTGTGGGGCTGCATAATCAGCGCACACGCCTAGACTTTGATCTCACTCACACTCATTTTTGAACCGCGGGCTGCGTTTTTATCTCCAGACGCACGACTTCACCCATCAGAGGCGTGTAGCTCCTCTTGGTGAAGGAAGATGCATTTAATTGTGTGGGGGAAATGGTTTAAATAGACCCAAATTGGAGGAAAACAGTTTTTTTTCTTTTTCTTGCATGTGAATTGTGAAATAATCTCCATGTGAGGGTGAATGAAATGTGTGCAGAGTGTCTTTTTGGCTTATGAGATAAAAGCAAAGAGATCTGAAGGAAAGGTTGACCACAACTCCTGGACCAGACGCAGGAGGAGGAGGAGGGAGTGATGAGGGAGAGGACAGGGCAGCAGAAAAGCTATCACTTTGTGAAAGGAGAAGTGCTTCCCCCGACAGACGGAGCCTGCATGCAGAAGGTGATGTGATACAGCAGCGAGGAAGGAGGCAAAATGGAAATTTATTAAAGGAGAAAATGATTAAAGTGAAGCAGCTGGAGGGATGTAACCTCAACGGCCAGCTGCAGCGTTTTAGGGTTCAATCTTCTTCATATTTGACCCATTACAGCAGGGGATCTCTCCTCTTATAATCCATTCATTCTTTTGGATTAGGATCAAAAACTTGCAGGAGAACCAGAAACTAAGACGACGAGGTCAGGTTTACATCCGGCTTCTGCAAATTCCTGCAAAACAAACATAAAATGCAACAAAAGCAGAGGTTTGGATTGAGTGAGTGCTTTTGTTGGATGTTATTATTCATCTCGATGTCTGGGTTTTTAGTCTTGTTGGGGAAAACTTGCATTTTAGTTGCTTTTCCAGGGAAAAGGTGACGATGCAGCCAGTAGAATTAAGTGTTTTCAGATGGATCAGAGGGGGCTAACCTATATAAATCAGGGGCTTAAATCATAATGGGAGCTGTACGAGTGGCTTTGACCTGATTCCATTTAGAGTGAAGAGAAACTAATGAATTAATTGGGACACAATCAAATTAAGTTCATTGAGAGTGTATTTCACGCTGCGATGGTGGAGCCGGAGCCCAGAACATGCTTGGTTTGGAGCAACTTTGAGCCAGATTTAGGAACGTTTCAAGGACTTCATGCATCATTCTTTGCAGTCTGGATAAAAAAAGGATTTTTTTGTGTGAAAATGACTTTGGGAACTGATCCAGCAGGAACAGAAGCAGTTAAAGATTAGATGCAGGATCTCCTGCAGGGTGATGCAGGCAAGGCTCAGATATGAAGAGGGACCCGTGCCAGGAGTGATCCGTGGTGGTTTGGTTTCAAGAGACAGGATCAGGAGATCACATATTCATCAGACTGATCAACTTTCATCCTGGTCAGCTCAGATGGTTTTTTATAAGAATGGTTGAAGACCAAGTTCACTTTTACTTCTTATTTCTGAAATATGAAATATATTTCTGAGTTTTACACGCAGGCTAAACGTGAAAATGATCTTTGACCCGTTTCCTGCTATAGCCACCGATAGAAAATAGACAGAGAAATGCTCTGATTAAGAAAGGACAGTCAGATCTACGTCACTCTGAAAATTTTGGTTCGCAACGGGGAAGGCCGTTGTTGGTTCAGCGTCCAGGAAATAACAGAGACCTTCTCGGATAGGAGAAGCTAACCGTTAGCATTAGCAACTCCTTCAGGCTTGTGTTATTTGTGGAGACAAAAGATCAACGTTGCAGAGCAAACAGAGTCAGAGTTGTGTTGCTGTTAGCCAAGCTGAGGCGAGATGTTCAAACATCAGGAAATAAGACTCCTGCCATGTTCAGCTGACCTCTGCTCTGTCTAACCTCTGCTTCCTGAAACAGGAGTGCCAGAGCTCCCCCCGAGGCCATCATTCATACTAGAGACCACAGCAAATGGAAAAATGAGTGAACTTTGTTTTTAAGTTGTGGTATAAGCATTCTTACTTCTTGTTATTGTTTAAAAATGATGGAAAATCTAAAAGAAAATGACCTTTTCTTCCTGTTTCGGTTAGTTTTCCTGCCTAGCATCTGGTTTGTCACAAAGTTCCTTCATTTTATTGTGTTCTGCTTTCTCAACCAAACAATCAATGGGATCTTTGCATGTTTGCTGTGGTGCTTGGTACTCGGACGCTGTTGGTTCTTTGGGAAGGGGGTTACGACCTGCTGGGATCGGTTTGTTCCAACAAACCTCAAACACCCTGTTGGATGTTCACCTCCAGAGTTCAGAGGAGTCATACTTTGGGCTCTTTGCACTGGCGTCATATACCGCCGTTACCATTCGATGACAGAAACCCTGCTGTCGGTTGATACTCAGGGGGGTGTTTCCCATCAGAGAGGATCCAGTTGGTCACAACAGCTTGTTGAGTCAGCCGTCGTTTAAAGTCAGGAACTGAAGGGAACGGACGAGCCCGTTTCTGCAGAGGAGCAACAAAATGAAACCCAACAGCTGCAGAACGCTCGGCGTTAAATGCTGTTTTGTTTGCTTAATCCATGCTGTGAAATGTCGTCCAACCTCTTGGGTGTAACAAAACTTAACAGCCCCCGTCAGCCAACAGCCCGCCTCCAACCGCCTTCCCATAAAACCCACCACCGACACTTTGTGTTTGGTCTAGATTAAACAACATATTAGTGCTGGTACGTGAATTCAGAGGAAGCAGCTCGGCTTCAGTTTAATCCAAAAAGTCAAGAGGGGTTTTTATATTTTTACTTAATGTTGGATATCTGAGTGGAGAGTTGGTATGTTTGGGTCAATTGGTGAAAAAAGTACAATTAAAAGGAGATAAATAAACTTAAACAACTCATAAGTTTCTGATATTTGTATGCAATTTATCTTGGCTTCTAATGGGTTTTCCCTCTAAATCTGGTTGTCAAGCTGAGGATTAATTATCCCCTCTTTAAATATTTATTTAGGGTGCCAAATTTACACAAATTGCCTCCTTGCACAGGCTGCGTGCACAAAATAAAAATCGAGGATTTGAGATCAGGGGAGGCAAATGAGAAAATAAGTTCCCAGGGGCCTCGGCTAATGAAAGCGCATTAGCAGTCCAACCATGTAGGAATCCACCAGTTTGTCATAACCAATTTTCGGAGGCGGCCCAAGCTAACTGGTTGCAACGCTCAACAATATGGCTGCTTACCGTGCGGTTCAGCGTGCAGAGCGTGGCATTACACCTGGCAGCGGTGGAGGTGGACCCTTCCTGCAGTGGGTGCAAGTGAACATGGCGTATCAACATTTAATGGTGCTAATGTCAGGAAATACCACCTAAGTCTACCTGTGTGTGTGTGTGTGTTGGGCTCATTTAACCTGCAGCAGAAACACACACTCTTTCCACTGCTGTCTCTGTTTCTCTCCCATGTTTTTTTTCCCGTGTCTCCCCCAGCTCTCCCTTCCTCCCTCCTTCCCTCACCCCTCTCCTCTTCTCCTTCACTGACACTGCAGCAGGTAGTGGAGCGACTAGCCCGAGGAGCTCGCCACGAGGTCCTCTGCTGTCATTCTGACAGCTGTTTCTCTGGATCTGCCAGGAGATGAGTGTGTGGAGGTGATTACAAACTGAAACGGGGAAGAGAATTATTCATATTCACCCCTTCAAGTGTTTGAGCGTGCCATTGAACAAGTGCCTATCTGGGATTTAGCTCTGCAGCAGCTTGATGTCCGTCTCCTAAAACGTGTCGTTTCTGTTTCTCCCCAACAGGATCAGCAGAAGATGTGACTTGTGGATTAGGCGCTCTACCTCATAGCCAGAAAGCTGCTTTACCTGCTGCATCCCTCTGGTTTATGCGTTTTCTTCCCTGGAACACGATTTGCTCATGGGGCTCGGATAACTCCACGTCTGGGGTTCTTTACCCCCTCCTCGTTGACCAGTAGGGAGGTCCAGCTTTATCGAACTTTCAAAAATCAACTTTGTCTTCTGTGATCATGGAAGCTCAGTGGAGCCCAGCTTCCTGCCCTTCCTCCACCATCTTCCTGCTCCTGGCCACCTCTTACACCTGGTTCCTTCCTGTCACCTCCCCCCAGCGAGTCCCCACGGACCCCCAGGCAGCTCCGGAATACGCTCACTCTATCCGGCTCGATGGTGACATCATACTCGGAGGATTATTTCCTGTTCACACTCGTGGCGACCGCGGCACGCCATGTGGGGAGCTTAAAAAGGAGAAGGGCATCCATCGCTTGGAGGCCATGATGTTCGCCATCGACCTGATCAACAAGGACCCCGAACTGCTTCCCAACATCACCCTGGGGGCCCGGATCTTGGATACCTGCTCCAGGGACACGTACGCTTTGGAGCAGTCCCTGACGTTCGTCCAGGCCTTGATAGAACGGGACGGCTCAGATGTTCGCTGCGCTAACGGAGACCCCCCGATCTTCACTAAACCTGATAAAATCGTTGGTGTGATCGGAGCTTCGTCCAGCTCCGTGTCCATCATGGTGGCCAACATCCTCCGCCTGTTTAAGGTAAGATTCCACTTTTGCTACCTACTTGTTGTCCTTGGATACTTTCACACCAGGTGCAGGCAAACAGTCCGAACACAAAGCAGTCTGCTGCGTGCGGCGCTCGCAGGTTGCACGGTCGTGACATTTACATCATAATGTGAACAATCAGTAAAAACACACCACATTTGACCACAAATGTAGAATTTGAACATCCGGACCTGCAGTGTGGATATCACGTCTCCGTGCTGAAGGATAGCCAAAAGTTGCACTTCCAGCCCCTTCACCCAAAGGCACTGGCAAAGATAAAGTTCAGTGACGACCGCCATTTAAAACCTTATCGCTTTCTGCAGCAGTGACACCTCCTTCTTCACTGGTTGGAGGAGGAGATAGCCTGCACGTTTGCCGTTTCCAAAACCCAAAGTGTGATTTCTATCTTCCGCTCAGATGTGTGCGAGGACCAGATGTGTCGATGTGTCAAGGGATGCTTGTAAGAAAGTGTGTGTGTGTGTGTGTGTGTGTGTGTGTGCACAGTTTAGATCATCACTAGCTTGTAGTAGAGCGAAATAAAAATGGCTGCCAAGCAGGGGTATCAATTACAGCTGAAGATCTGTCAACAGCCACTTCATTTCCTGCGGCCTTTGATTGTTAGTGTGTACATCTGAGTGTGTGTGTGTGTGTGTGTGTGCACCTCGAGGATGCTGCTTTGTGTCTGTGTGTTTTCTAGCACACGTGTGAGCCTAATTGAGCATCCTCATCAGTGCTCATAAAGTCTTATTTTATTCATGTGTGTGTCCTTCCTGAGGCTCATGAATCCAGCCGTTCCTGCTCAGGTGTGTGTGTGTGTGTGTGTTACTGAGAGTGTGTTTCTGTTGTCGTCATTAGTTACAGAGAGATGATGGATTCCTGTATGATTATGAAATATGAGTCCAGTAATGACGCCTGTGGCATTTCACATCTATCCCACACTTTTTCAGTGTGTGTGTGTGTGTGTGTGTGTGTGTGTGTGTGTGTGTGTGTGTGTGTGTGTGTGTGTGTGTGTGTGTGTGTGTGTGTGTGTGTGTGTGTGTGTGTGTGTGTGTGTGTGTGTGTGTGTGTGTGTGTGTGTGTGTGTGTGTGTGTGTGTGTGTGAGACCACACATTGTTTTCACTCCCAAAAAAAATCCATATGCTGTTCTTATGTGGGAGCGTTTGTGTGCGAGTGTGTGTGTGTTGCCGAGCGCTCATGTTAACAACCAGTTTTGAATGGGAGATTTGCATATTAAACAACAACAACAACAACAACTAAACATGATTTATTCCAGGATCTGTCACAGCGGCAGCGCTCGAACACAGAGCCTTTCTGCCTCCGTGGTGCCTCGCTCTCATTTGCCTAATACGATTTAGAGCCTCGCGTGTGTCTGCGTGTACGCTACTGCTCCAAGTGGGTGTGTTGCATGTCAGCATTGTACGTCCGGCGATAATTTGTGTGTGGGTGTCTGTTTGGTTCACGTACGTTATATGAGTGTGTGTGTGCGATGTCACACGCTCGCCTGTGGCTGTGCCTTTTGTGCATCACAAAACTGGATCTTTCTCTACACGCTTTAACACGAATAACTCGCCCTGTTCTGAAAATAGGACTCACGCATGTTCACAGAAAAGCATTCCCAAAAAATTACATTAAAAATACATATGGCTTTTTAAACGGGCTAATCCGGCAGCGCCAGTCACAGTTAGTCGCCCACTCAACACAAAGGGAGGCCAGAAAGCAAGTACAGCAAAGATGCTGTGTGTGTGTGTGTGTGTGTGTGTCATTCGCAGCAGATGACAGAGATTCAAACAGCAGCTTGTGTGAGCATTCAGCTCCTCTTTTTGTTCCACGTTTAGCAGCAGAGGGAGCCCCTTGCTGACAGTCACAGCTGAGAGAAATCACGCCCAACAAGAGCTGTTGATGTTTCTTTTGTTGCTCATTCTCCTTTTGAAGATTAGCGTTCCACATGGCGTGGATGATACCGAGAAGGGAGGAGATAAGATACTTTGGTAATCAGGAGCTTTTACAGCAGCTAAACGGAAAAAGGAAAACGCGGTTTTAAGCGAGCTCCTAAGCCTGGTCGTTTTGGGGATCATTTACATCAGATTTGGGAATCGGGAATGACGGGAACCTGTTCAGGTTGTTTGAGTCTAAAGCTGTTTACATCTGTGAGGCTGTGGATACCCTTCTGCTTGGCTCCTTTGGGAGATCAAGGGGAAGTTTCCAGGGTTCAAATTCACCAGGAAAACCAGTCAGCCAGTCTGGCCGGACTCATTTAGTCTTTTCTAGTTGAACTTTGAGAGGTAAAAGACCTCCTCTGTGATGGAAAGTCTATTAATGCTCAGCCTGCAAATCACTGAAAAAACCAGCATAGACCAGTATATGTTGTGTTTTGGTGCTGGTGTAGCTGGGATTCAGGTCTAGCGTCCAAGCATCCAAAACTCAACATAAGCAGTTTTTTTAGGAGGGATCTGGACATACAGAGGTTTTAAACGTCTTCAGTCAACCTTCCAATCTTGTCTCATCGTGCTTGTTTCTCTGTGGAGTTGGTTTCAAATAACCATGGCTAATTAGCAAACTACATAACTACATAACTCTTACAAGGCCGTTTCATAGAAAATCTTTTTATCATGTTGTATTGTCCTTTCCTCATGTCAAATACCCCCAAAGCCGTTTTTGGCTGCATTCTTGCATTTTCCTGCCTCAGCTCCAATTTGGTTGATGATGTGAAGAGTTTTCCTGCATTCAGGAGAAAGTATCCCACTTGAGTCATCAGGCATTTCTCCTCCTTAATCTGGTCTGGTCTCGGTTCTGAAACCTGGACATTGTGTTAATATTCTGACAAATTACTTAAGATTAGCGTTTTGTAACAGACATGCTGGTCCAGTGGTTAGGGCCAGGCTGGCATGTAGTTCAGCACAGGCTTTTAGCTACACTTACCACTGTGATGTTTTAACCCTTTATTGGTAAACAGTTTAAAATGTAATGCCTAATCTTTTTTTTTATACTTTCTTTCTTTATTTAGCCAGTGCCATATTACTTAATAAAAAAAAAAAGTTCTGTTAATTTTCATCATCTGAAATAAATTGGTATCGGCAGTATTGTCCCAAAGTCTTAAATTGGTATCGGACCTTTAAAAGCCAGAATCGGTGCATCTCTAAAGCAGACTTTCTCACTCAGTATTCTTGGACCAGTTTTCAACATTTTTGCTCCAATTAATAATTTAACCCAACTAAGATGAGGAAACGGGTCCAGCGTTTAAGAAAAAAATCTAAACAAACACTTTACGCTGGATTATCTAAATCAGTGAGCGCTCCCCAGAGGGGTCACAGACGGTTATGAATGGCGGAGATGGGATTAAGAGAAGAAGAAGAACCTCAGAAAAGCTCATTTCACTCTCGCACTCAGACAAGAAAAACTTCAGACCTGCTGAGTAGCCTCACCTCTGCAGAGCAGAGAGAAAATAATCTTTCATCTTTATTTTATTATTGGCTAAATCAAAGGAGCAGAGTCCCAGAGCGTGGGCAGTAAGTCTGCTCTGCACAGGAAGTCGAGAATTTTCAGATTAAAATTTAACTAAAAGTTTCTCTGCAAACTGTAACCAATTTTAAATTCGCTCTCGTTGTCTTTTGTTTTGATTATTTTCCTGACTGGCAGAGGAGGAGGAGAAAAGTTCCCACCTCGTAATCAGGAGGTTGCAGGTTTGAGCCCCGTTCAGTCTGTCGCTGTCGTGTCCTTGGGTCAGTGTCAGTGTATGGCAGCCTCGCTTCCATCAGTGCCCTCCAGAGCAGCTGTGGCTATGATGTAGCTCACCACCACCAGCGTGTGAATGTGTGTGTGAATGGGTGAAGGACTGAATGTGTTGTAAAGTGCCTTGGGGGGGGGGGATTCTAGGACTCTAGAAGGCGCTATATCAAATACAGGACATCTTTAAAGAGCAATTTCACTGAGAAACAGTGCTCTACGCTTTATTTTTTTAAATCCAATGAGTCACTCTTGAGTGTCTCATGTTGGCTAAATGTGGGAAAAAAACTTCAACCCCTATTTCCTGCATTAGCCGCCGATGAAAACTAGCATTCATGGACTCATCCATCTTGACTCACAGCGGAGAAGGCTGTTGTTGGTAGCCTGGCCTGCCAGACTCGTCCTCTGTTTAATTCTGCAAAGAGAGAGAGTCTGGTTACTCGGAGACAGAGAGGCACATGAGGGGCGGGACTAGGCAGCTCAAAAATCAGAAAAAAGACGGAAATGCCAACTGTACCGCGCGGCACTGTAGTTTTTTAGCTGTAGTAAAGAAATGGCGTCTGGCAATGGCGCACACATCTTTCTTTAGAAGAAAGGCTTTTAGCGCTTCTACTTGTTGTTTTAAAGACGTGTCCAAGTCATTTAGAACAAAGGAAAGAGCCGCAGCGAACTCCGCTTCAGTCGCAATGTTTATGACAAACTCAGCGTTATGGTGTGTGACGTACGCTACTCAGCGCTGATTGGCTCGGTTAGAATTCTCACGGGGTGGGGTTGTTTGAATAGGAGAGTTCCCAGACCCGTTCTCTGTGCAGAATTCAACAGAGGAGGAGTCTGGCAGGCCAGGCTACGTTGTTGGTTTAGCGTGCAGGAAACAGCAGAGAACGTCTCGACTAGCAGAAGCTAACCATTAGCATTAGCAACTCTACCACACAGCAGAACTCCTCCAGGTTTGTGTTACTTGCAGAGCAATCCGAGCCAGTGGTACATTTGCGTTGCCGCTAGCCGACCAGAGCCGAGATGTCCACATATCGGATAGTAAGACTCCAAATCCTGTAATCTGAAGCTCAGCTCTGCTCTGACTCACTTCTAGTTCCTGAAACAGGAGCATGACCATGACCCCCCCCCCCCGACATGAACTTACCAGAGTCTACTGCAAACATGTGGAAAAAACGATCAAACTTGGTCCTCAGAGGCAGTAACAGCCATCACTCAGCTTGGTGGACGTGTAAAACAAACTATATTTAACATCAGATTTGTGGCAAGTGCTGCT